CAGAGAGGACAGCTGACTGTGTGTGTTATTCTGTTTGTGTGTGTGTGTGTGTGTGTGTGTGTGTGTGTGTGTGTGTGTGTGTGTGTGTGTGTGTGTGTGTGTGTGTGTGTGTGTGAGAGTGTAAGGTCTCATCTCGTTGTACTTGTTATCTTATCTCATGTAAATGTTCTTTAATACAAAATTAACATAAGTCAAGAAGAGAAGTGTAACTTTGTGTTGCACTAATGTTTATGATTGATGTTTGGTAAACTTTGCTATAAAGTAAAACATATGTATGAAAACTATCCCTGGGGGCTAATGATGAAATGCCAACATGTTGATGTTCAGCAGGTTTAATGTTCACCATCTAACGTTAGCATGTTAGCATGTTAGCATGTGCTAATTAGCAATAGTACAACTCAGGCTGATGGGCATGTCTTTTCTGCCGGTACTTGGTCACAACAATGTGAATTGATGGTGCTAGATAAAAGTCACAGGATCAAAGTTATTTGAATGCATTCTAAGGGAGAGATAAATGTCTGTACAAAATGTCATGTTTGAGTTTTTGGCTTTCGTGTCAACAGTTTTCTATGAGTAAAACATGTTGCAAAATGTATGCAGTATAGTTGTTGGTAGGAGGCATGGCTGTTACCATGGCTGTCCCTGCAGCTAAACCAGGCCAGGTGCATGATGGGAGATTGGGTCGGTGACTCCACATGCCTCACTGTCAACAACAAAAAAGCCACCAGCACAGGAGAAGTTTCTGTACTGAGTGACATAAAGCAACATGGATGATCTTTTGGTGAATCACTGATGTGAGACGGAGGAAGAGGTGGCAGAGAGGACAGCTGACTGTGTGTGTTATTCTGTTTGTGTGTGTGTGTGTGTGTGTGTTTGTTTGTTTGCGTGCGTGCGTGCGTGCGTGCGTGCGTGCGTGCATGCGTGCGTGATTGCGTGTGTGTGTANATTAACAATACACCAGTGTGTGTGTGTGTGTGTGTGTGTGTGTGTGTGTGTGTGTGTGCGTGCGTGATCCAGATTTAGATGTACTATTGTCTATAATGTGACTGTGACATTTGCCAAAAAACGACAGTCTCCTTTCTCCAGACAGCAGTGACGCACACCAAGCATTCAGACGTAGTGTGTGTGTGTGTGTGTGTGTGTGTGTGTAAGGTCTCACACATTATAGACAATAGTACATCTAAATCTGGATCACGCACGCACACACACACACACACACACACACACACACACACACACACACTGGTGTATTGTTAATGTTGTGTCTTAACGGGTAGCAGTAAGAGAAAGGCAGGATGTGTCTGAGTGACTGGAGATTCAAAACCTCATATTGTTTGTAAAGCAGATTGTGTTATTTGATTTTCATCATATATTTTTTGTGCTAGTGTAGCAGATGTAAATATGCAGTGGGGTTTATTTAATTGTTTCTTGTATAATCACACAAATTCTGTGTTTTATATTATTTTATTCTGTGTTCTTCATTTTATTGATTGTTAAATACCTGGCAAGGTCGGAGATCAGTGGGCGGAACCTCTGAAGTGTGGTCGCTGTAGTCAGGAGTGTATTGTTGTGAGGACTTTCCCCCATATATATTGTGTCTCTCACGTTTCCTCTGCCCTTTTGTAAACGTTCCACGTGAGAGGAGTGACTGTGGGAAACTGATGTAAAACTGATTGTTTTATATATTGTCAGAAAATAAACAGATCGTCTCAACTCTACGCTGGCTCGGGTCTCGTCTATTCACACAACGCAGAGACGCTTAACCACACCGGTTACACTAGTATTCCTTATTTTTAAAGCTTGATCTTCATTTTTTTGTTATTTTGCTTTTAATCTGACTGTCCCTGGTCTTGTCACTTTATAGAAGTGCATCAGTTAAGACTGCAGTTTTAGGGTTTTAAGCAGGAATGTGTCTTTTATGTATTATTTTCTGTCTTTGGCCAATAAAAACCCAAATTGTAAAAAAGCAAAAAACAGACAGGCCTATTTGTGTTCTGCAGACGTAGGCTGGCTGTTAAAGGCTTGACACAAACTGAGTTACTGTGCTGAGCAGCTTGTCCACCCCGAACAGAGGTACCTTGGCTAGCTGTGTGTGTGTGTGTGTGTGTGTGTGTGTGTGTGTGTGTGTGTGTGTGTGTGTGTGTGTGTGTGTGTGTGTGTGTGTGTGTGTGTGTGTGTGT